GAAAGCTCCAATGTGTCATTTGGAGCGTGGTTTAAGGAGACCAGGGATGCTGTTCTGTGGACTCAGATCGTTATCGAGGGCTGCGGAGTTGGGAGAAACTAAGGATGATGTAGGATTGTTAACTGAGATTTGAAGGAAGATTAGAAGGTTAGGATGAGGGGGGTGGATAGTGGTCTGGCGGAACTTAAGAGCAGACAGAGTTTTAAGGGCGCTTTACACTTCTTGGCACCCACAGCGTGGAGGGCTAGTTCTCGAGATACCTAAAAAATAAGGGATAGTGCATGGTCTCAAAGTCCAGGAGACATCTGTCTAGGGCCGGTCACGTGCGGCGTTTTGGAATGTACGAGAACTGGCATGTACCATGGCAAATGTAGTTGGACATATATGCTGTGGTTTTGTATCACCACTAATGACTGGTCTAATCCGCCATAGTGCACCATCCCTGTTTAAGAACATTAGGATAATTGCTTTTTGTCGAAGTACTATCCAACAGATCTTTCTGGTATGGTTGGACCTTGAGAGAACAAGCGTCCTACCAGCATAAGTGGTTGGGCCATCGTGATTTGCAAGCCGGACCATCACGTCAAGTTGGCTGCTGTCGGCCGTGGTGAGCTGTATACATCGAGTGGTGTCGTCAAAGATGCCTAATCTATTCTTAGTCAATCATGTTATAGACGTCCTTATGGAGGACTCCCTCTCGTCATTTGATATCGCAAAGATTTATCCTATCGCAGGAGAACCCTTGTTAGATCTAGAGTACGTAGATGACATAGTCGTGTCGATCGAAGACGCCGACAAGATGCAGAGCCTTCTGGACACATATAGTGACGATTTGAGAATGTTTGGGATGCGGTTCTCATCACCCAAATGCAAATTGTTTCTCTGGGACCACTGGTCTTCAACGGTTCGCCGGTCAATTTTGGAAAGTGAATGGGTGGACCACTTAACAGATCTGGAAAGTCGAACCAGCCGTGGTGGCTTGGTGGTCGACAGAATCTCTGCACGAATACTAAAGGCTCGATGGCTTTAGCCAACATACGCCATCTGTGGAACCGCTGCTATATCTTACTGTCTATTAAGGGTCGAGTGTACTGAGCTGCAGTCCACTCTATCCTACTGTACATGGCTGTGAAACGTGGCTATTAAAGGTAGAAGACTTGGGAAGGCTTTAGGTGTTTAACCACCGTTGACTTCGTAGCATAGGCCATGTTTTTGTCGTGGTATCACCACGTTAGTAATGTGGAAGTGAGATGCAGAGTTTTATGGAGGAGAGGTGAGTCAGTTGGTGCTGTTGTGATATGGCTGAGAGATGTATTACGTATGCCTAGCCATCGGCTGCCTCGTCGCACGATGTTGGCCGAAGTATGTTCAAGTTGGGAAAAGGCTCGAGAGGATCAGACTAAAACGTAGCATCAATACATGAAGTCGTCGACTGCTGGTTTGAGCCATGTGGGACGGACGATACAGACTATCTGATTGGGGTCCACTGAATAAGAGAAACCAGTGGTTGAAGACTCTAAGTGATATGGCTCAAAACCAACGTCAGTGGCGCAGGTGTATACACAAATTATCCTCATCTTAACCGCTATACTTAATCTCATCTTTTCCTCATTATTCCTTTCTCTCTTAGTAGCTTATATTTAATTTGACTATAGGTTTTGAATTCTCTCTTCACAGTATTGCCACTGTGAAGAGAGAATTCAAAACCTCTACGGTATTACCATATAAAGAAGGCACCTCAGTTACACTGCATAGAACTCCTAATAAGTCTGCGATTATAGTAACATTTAAACTACAAACTCACTTCAAAATACACTTTGTAGGTTAAGAGATCCTATTGATCCAATTAAGCAGAACAACCTAGTTTAAGAAATCCGTTACAACGATTGCTAGGTCAGGCTCAAATAGGCTATCCGAGCACAAACCTAGCTAGGTCAAAATTGGTAGATCCTAGTAAGGTAAGGAATTTAGAAAGAAGCTCAGCTATAGCTGTGCATGCGATTACACACAACCACGCAATAGGATGGGACTGAAAATCCTTAAAACAACATAACAGGGTGGAGGGAGAGATCGATAACTAGATCTTTGTTTATCGAATCAACACCTAATACGTGCAACAGAAATGACTCAGTACCTGTTCCGGATATATAGAAACTCTTACTATCCATGTCACCGAGGGGCTAGGAAATTAGGACTGTATAAAGGGAATTTAAAGTTGGGTAGTTATTTTGATATGACTATGGACAATAAATTATGTCCGAAACGTAATCTAGTAAACAATACTGTTACACTGTGTGGCAAATCTAATAACTCAATAAAAATGGAATTATATTCTACCATGGTGCACAAGTTTTACTGTTATATACTTGTAAAGTCTTTTTGACTGTTAGATGTGCATGCCACATTTACGGAAGCTGATCACTCACTGATTTATTGGGATTCGGGTAGTTTATATTTTATTTCAAAATAGAACGATATCGTCTTAAAGCTGGCGGTTGACGTGCCATCTACCTCACCAGCCGTCTATGACACCAGACTTCTTGCTGCTGATGAATTGCGTGTTGACTGCCAAACTCTCCGGTTCTCACATAAATGCTGTTTGGTCTCTCGGACTTACGCACACCATTGTTCTCATTGCCCATCGGAATACACCAACGAGCGTCAGTTAGTTGCGAGGAGCTCACCGATTCACAGTATTATTTGACAGGATTTTCTTCAAAGCCGTAGGCAGCTTGCTGTTTTTCTGGCGTCTTGGAAGTTCGGTCAGTGCTCATCTATGCCTTCTAGAGGTTCGATAGTATGTAATCTAGCTCGGTTTTTATGTTCACTTGCAGTACTAGCAGCAATCATTTTTCTCACCTCAATCTATTTAAGACAGTAATTTTGCTGACTGCGGTAACGCTAGATAAACTGAGCACACATTAAACCATGATCAGATTCCTGACATATGCAGTAGGAGGAGCGGAAGTCCTTGGCGCACCTACTCCATCGGTAGCTTTATGCTATGAGATCTACGTGAGTTCAGGCTTGAGTGTCGACGTAGTAGTATAACGGCGGTATGTGTCCTGAAATTAGTGCTGGCTAAAAGCAGGATATGATCTGCTCAAAGCTCCGGAAGCCGTTTCCCATTATCTGGCATGCTACTGACTAAACGCACTGGTTAGCTTAAAACTCTTCTGGCCCCATAAGTCCGGCCTTTACATTGTTACCCAACCAGCAATACGATGACTATCGAACATACCATGTGGAGGGTCACCCAGCCAGTAGTAGAACTCATCCTTAGCTGAATCCGAACATTAGTCGGTCAGGAAATAGACAAATATGACAAAGAGATCGTTTCCCTCACTAGTGACTCATTCGAGTGCTAATGCGTAACATACCTCATATCAGCACGTCACTGATGTTTTTTGTTCGAAACTTAGAGATTTGATTGCAGCTAATGGGCATTTAGACTCAAGCATAATCTGAGTGTAGCTGATACACATTTCTCACGTGTTTTGTACAATTTAATGCTTCAACACTGGTCTGCAGCAACTCCTAATTTGAGGATGAAATGTGTTCACCCACATAGCAAGGTTGGGGTCCACGGGACAAGAGGAACCAGTGGTTGGAGACCCTAGGTGATATGGCTCAGAACCGATGTCAGTGGCGCAGATGTATACACACATTATCCTCATCTTAACAACGCTATACCGAATCTCACTATTTTGTCACTCCTCTTTCCTTTCTTCTCATACTTTATATTTCTTTTGACTGCATTCACTTATCTTCATCCTTCACCTCACTACCTTTTTACTTGATGTGCTGATATGAGGTGTGGCAACTCGGACCGTTACGCAGTAATGCCTGGTCCTATGTTGATAATGATGATGATGATGATGACCCACATAGCAAATTGCGCTGGCTTTAAATTGCTGGTTGCTAACGCGGTTTCAGCCTGGATACAAAGTCTTTTTAGGTAGGTGGCAAGTTACGCTATCTCTGGCTCTGGCAAGACATCTAAGTTGAGTATTCTAAACGTTGCTGTCCTATTATTACGGTGAGACATTTGAAGTAGATATGACTTCGCACCATGTTTGTTGGGAACATTCATTGCATGTAGTGGGATCACCGTATGAGCAAAGTAAAGGCTACGAGTAAAACATAAGGTTAGCAAGATGAACCATTCTTTGAACTTGTGAAACTTAAGCAACTTAAATAACTTGATCATGTAATTTGCTTGCGTACTTCGAAGTACAATGGTGCTGGAAATGAGATCGAGTTGGGAGAAAGTTAAGGGTGGTCAGAACAAGACACTAGTCCATGAATTCTCTGACACATTGGGAAGATATTGGTTGCCTGATTAGGGTCGCCTCGGTGATAGAAATAATTTACTTTGATATGATAATGAGCGATAAATTCTTCTGAAAATCTTATCCAGCAAATAATACTGTATCACTATGTGCTGTTTAAAATAAACTATCTAATATGGTATCATATTCTACCACAGTACCCAAGTTTTACTTTTCCATTGATGGAAATCAATTTTTAGGAACTTGGTTATGTGGCTCAAAAACCTACCACAGTGACTATGGTATGTATACTTTTCGCTATCGAAATTTTAACATCTTTGTTAAAGGTTGTCACTACCCTTCTTTATTCAACTTCTTTCTCCCCTAATACACTTTCGACAACTTTGATATCACTTTTTCTTTCCACTTGTTTGCATGTTGTGATGAAGTGTGTGACAGCTTGAATAAATGCACTCATGTTCTAGGTTATGGGTCAGCCTGTCTGTCTGAATCTTCACGATGTTAAAACGTGCCCCACTTGTGCAAAAGGAATATTCGTAATCACTAGCAGTTGTATAGCCTAATTGGATGGTCCGTTCATAGATTGTGAGTTAAGAAGCAATTTCGCGTATCTCTGAAGTTATTAGCAATTTCACTCTTATTTTCTTTGATGTACAAGTGGGTTTTCCTACTCTTAGTAACATTCTCATCTACGTTTTCCTCTTACAGGCATATTACGCATGTGAGAAAAACGAGGACGCCGCTGCGAATTTCCTGTTAAGCGAAAGTTTGGATGATGAAATGGTATGAATTGGTTCCACATACTTTATAACTATTTTATACGTTTGTGATAATCCTTGTTGGAGTGTCACGTACACATTTGTAACAAATCCGCATCCATTTCCCCTTCCACTACAGCCTTGAACTAATTGCGTTATGTCCATTCATCAGTTTCCATGTTTATTCTTGCTTATTCATTTTTCAAAGGCAATGGTTGCAAAAAATATCGGTGCTATGTTATGGAACAGTGACAGTGTTGCCAATGTTTGTGTACACACATACACCTATCAACTACTTTTTGATTTGAAGGATTTCTCATTGTTTTCGAATCAGTCAGTTTTCTGTTTGTCTACGGAGCATACAAATATTTCATTTGCACCGCTGTAAACTGTTTTCTGTTCGACTCCATTCATGTGATTGGCTTCTAGCCTTTTTACGTTATCTATGTGAAATTGTATTTTGCACATAGAACCAAATGCATGAGGTTCTCTGTTTGAACAAATACGGTTAGTTTTGTGGGTGAAAAAAAAACTAGTTTTACAACTTTAAGGTTTTCAAGAATATGGACATCATTAGAGATAAATATTTTTCGTATTCTTAACCTACTCTCCAGTTATGTTTACGTTTGATTGTTATTTCAACACCAGCAAAACTAAGCTTTTTCGGTACTGTATCTGATCCAGCGTCCTCTTTTCTTAGTCACCGAAAGTTAGCTACAAAAATATGTTTTGAACGTTATTAGGTAGCCAATATTGTTTCACTGTGGGAAACATCTAACGAATGAAGTAATGTAGAAAGTCGACTTTGAAACAGAACTCGAATGTAATATTTATTGCTTTATCCCAGGCACCAGATGAACCTATATGAGTTCATTTTTTTCTCATGAGAACTCCGCTATGCTTGACGTATAACTGTCTATCTTTCTGTAAAATTGTGGCTCAATCAATTGACTTGAAATTCGATTCCGTAGTGCCTCGGTTTAAAGGATTCATTTAGCGAACATCTTAAAAGTTCAAAAGGAAGTCAGCGAAACGGAATATCGGATAACGGTGGACGAAAGTATGATGACCCTTCAGTTTCCAAAATAGCATCGAGAGTAACCAGAAATGATGTTAGTTACGTCATTTTACTCTCGAAACGGATTGCTTCCATTCAGTGTGACAAGGAATTATGCTAGCCCACAATAGTCCTGCTTTTGGACCAAGTCTGACATTTTTCTTTGATATTCATTTCTTGGCTCATCTTTGCATGACATTTTGAACAAAGGCCGTTTGTAGTGACAGCGATCACTAAGCTTCAAGAAAATGCCACAGCTGTTGGCATTTCTCTGGTAGTCAGCATACCTGGATCAAAGTAGGTTTGTTGATTCATCTAAGCGCTCCGCTTACAGGAGTCCGACTACTTGTGACAGTCTTCTATCTGGATTAAAAGGCATTTTCATACACTTGAATTCATTTGACCTACATACAGCTTTTTCATGGCAATACGGCAGGTAAAATGATAGACTGCACTAATAATCTTTGTGATGTATGATGCTGAAAGGAGAATGTGGTCAAAGACAATGAACTTCAATCACTTTGGGGTGAAAGTTGGCAGTAAGATGTTATATCAGGATGAGCTAGAATGAGCGACCTATCAATAACGCTCCAGAGACAAAACCTAATCAGCGTAGAACCTCATGCACAAGTGCATCGGTTAAAGTTGCCACACTACGCAGTAGCATGCAAAGAACAAAGTGGATAGAAAACGACTAATATCAAATTAAAAGGTGTATGGTATAATTTAAAAATGAAAGTTAATGAGAGAGATAGGAGATGTCGAAAAGTGAATACATTTGCACTACGTGACCGTATTTCACCATGAGTTTTCAGTTATTGATTCCTGTATCTCTGCAACCCCAATCAGGTAATTTAAACTTCCCTACACGGCTCAGATCAACACCCGAAGACTTCATGGACTACTGTAATGTGTTGGTCTGGCCACCTTCAGCCTAGTTCAAATTCTACTAACAAAGCAAGTCGATGCAGGTAGGGGCAACATATTTCCAAGCCACCTAAGTCACTGAAGGTTCACAACCTCATCGACTCACTTGCTTTAGTTCCTTTGCATTATTATTATTTGTCCCTTTGGTTCCTAGTGGAACATAGGGCTTCAGTAGCACGTCTCCATTACAGTCTTCTTAACCTGGCTCCACGACTGTCCACAAGCTTTCATTTCTCTTCCATTTTACCCTCAGACGTCCAACTCGTCGTTTTCCACTTGGCTTCTACTCGAGGGCCTGGCCTGGTGCGTGATGTCCCTAAACGGTCTTCTCAGTCTATGTCCAGCCCAATCCATCTCCACTTTCTTCTGCATATCCGTTGGGCGGTTGGTTCGTTGCCAAGCCAGAATTCCTTATTACTTATTGTTCTGGTCATCTGATCTTCAGTAACGAGCCAGCGTAGGCGGCAGCTGTTCATGTATGTCTGCGGTTTGTTGGAAATGCTTTTCGTGACGCGCTAAGTCTCTCAACCATCACATAGAAGCACTCACTTACTTGACTGAATTCGTGTTGAAAATCCGGATCTTGTTCACGCTTTATGCTGAGTGCAGAAGATCTCCACACTGGTTTCAGGTTAATGAAGGCCTGTCTTGCTGTCTTTCCGATCCTGGTTTTGACATCATCATCTGTGCCTGTGCCGCCTGTAGTTGAAACGATGCTGCCTAGGGAGGTAGGTGAAAGAGACAAATTTCTTTAGATTTCTCCCGTTAATGGTTATTGGTGCTTGTTGTTAGTTGGGTATGTTCATCACCTCTGTCTTCTCTACATTCACATAAAGTCCCATCTTCGCTGCCGTGCCTCTTTTGTCAACTTGTAGATCTTCGAGTTTGTGCGACAAGACATAAATCATTGTTGGTGAAATCCAAATCCTCTTATGGAGTCTTTTCATCGGTCCAGTCAGCGTATGCCCCTCTTCTCGCTCGTCACAGTTTGTTGCATAATCCAGTTGACCACAATCAGGAAGATCATGGGTGACAGTAGTTGGCAACCTTGTCTTACTCCTGTCTTCACTTCAAAAGCGCCGCTGAGCCTTACTTTTGGATCATTTGGCATGTGGCGTCGTCATATAGTTGTTGAATGAGGTTGATAAAGGTTTGTGGGACTAAAACCGTAGTGTTGAAGCAGCTGCCTGGCAAATTACTTCTCGGTCGACGCTATCGAAGGATTTTTCAAAGTTGATGAAGTTGCCTTACACTATGATTCCAGCAATGCCAGGATGAAACCTGCTGTCTTCAACCTTCCATGACCATGTTTCAACCGTTTAACCGAACAGAACAAACTGGGATGCAGTAAACTCGTTCTTCATAGGTATTTAGTTGGATATCTCGCAAGTTATCAGATGCCAAAGGAGCCTTCTCCATCCCAGCTGGGATTTTGTTAGCAACCAACCGTTCGAGCTTATGTAACCCTCTAAGTAAATGAAATGGTCGACACATTCCGCAGCCTCACTCCTGATTTTTTGACTGGGAGTAGTTGCAGACCGGTCGTAGAGCATCATCTTACATTTCACAGGCGCAAGTCGCATTGCAACTAAATATATTCATATTTCTGCCTAACGCGTTCAGAAGACCCTGCATTTTATCACCGTTATCCCCTAGCATGACAATGTCATCTTCATACTCCAGGGAGTAGATCAATCCTCGGGAAGTCAGACGTACCATTAGCACATCTATAACGAAGTTAGGAACGGTGACTGGACATCGCTTGTGGATTCCACTGGTTGTCAAATCTGATGATAACTCTCCATAGACCCTTACACATCTGCATGGATTCGAGTAAAGACCTGTGATTAACGTTGCATATTTGTTTGGTACTCCCCTCACATTTAGACTGCCACAACACCTCACGCTCAACAGTGGAATGCTGCCTTCAGGTCAACAAGTATGCGTGTTTTCCGCAACTTGGCGGAGGGTAAAAATATGATGGATGCATCTTCGTCGAGGTCCAAAACCTGCTTGCCTTTCTTGAGCTCTAATTAGGCGTCAGATGACTATGGAGCCAAGGATCTTGGACACAATATAAATGAAACTAATTCCCCTATGTTTATCATGGGGAGATTTTTCTCTCTTTTCATAGGCTGGGAAGATCAATGAAGGAGACCAGCCTGATAGCACTACTTCTGATTCCCATGCGCTACCTAGTGCCTTCGTTAGTTTACTGAGTTATTTCCTACCTTCGTCCTTAAAAATGTTTGATAGCAAACCCTTAGGTCCTGCTTCATTGCATCATTCCAGGTCCAAAACAGCCTTGAAGTACTGATATCTTCCTTTCATTGAGGTCCAGGCTAGATATTGGGAATCAAGCGTCTCTGTGGGTCAAGTGAACTGCACTTCAAAGTGTTCTACCTAACCTTTGAGCTCTATTTCGACACATCTTCAATAGTAGGGACTGTTGCAATAAATTTGAATTTAGTTATGAGGCATAAACTAATACTGTGCATATATTTCTGTCCCGGGGCGTAACATAAGATGAAGCTGATCTAAGGTACGTTTTACCACTCCGAGTATTAGCTATAGAATAAATTTTTGGGGTGAAAATATATGGAGTTAATTTACCATATGATGAGCCATGCACACTCGCCGCCTGACAGCATTTGAGCAGTACTAGACAAGTTGATTGACGAGGTTGTGAACCTTAGTCGACTGACATGGCCTAGGCATGTACTGCGCATGCTTAGCCACCGCCTCCTTCGAAGTCCCATGCTTGGAGAAGTTGGATGAGAGTTCAGCGCGGCCAGACCAAGACTTGGCCTCAGTCGATGAAGTCTCTGACTGTTGGTCTTAACAGTGTAGAGAGACGTAATTTGCCTGATTGGGGTCGCCGAGATGATAGCAATCAATGGTTGAGGACTCTTGGTGACATCGGCGGCAATGGGACGGATATAATTACTCCTTGACATCTAAAGCTTGGATATTTGCATTAACCTTTATTTATTTTGTTTATTCTCTCATACAATTTCTGGTTTGATATCACTTGTTCTACCTGTTCTTTGTGTAGTTGAGCTGATGCACGTGTGTGAGAAGTTTACGTTGATTTTAGGTTGGTATTCGTCATGAACTGACATCCGTTGGAGAAACAGTGGAAACCTGAGAGTACTGGACAGCTGTTTCGTCCTAGTATGGTACTCCCCAGCAGTGCGCACCCCTGACTCCGCCAGGTATCGAACCCAGGACACATGGGTTCTGCAGCCACCCCGTTACCATTGGTCCTCTGGTCGGAATCCAATGGCCTATATCTCCTACTTCTGTGAGTTCACGATATGGCGCGGCCTGCATCCAATGACCTTGTTGAGTACCTTTCTTCATGTTTGACCTGGTTAGCCCCACTGGTCACGACTTCTCGTTGGAACCTCAGGAATCACCTCTCGAAGCTCGCCACCAATAAGTACTAGATTAATTCGATTTGGATTTGTCAGTCAGTCATGGTGAAAATTGACAGTATGATGTGTAGAATAGTTAAATGCTCAATAATAAGAAATTAATTCAGTATTGGTTTGATCAAACCACTTGGGAAGTGAAACAATTACAGAAAGGGTCAAGTAGTTTTTCTCTGGACACACAATAGACGATTACTCGTTTCATTATTTTGCCGTTGATTGGCATAAAAGCTGATCTCAGATCAAACCAGCAGCTGGTGCCTTGAAGTAGTCAGTCGTGCCTATCGCAATCATCCAATGAACTATACTGGCTAAAACAATTGTTCCTTGAGTGTGTATCATATCAGAAACTTCTGTTGAACAGTAGTGAGACAAAATGTACTTGCTGTCATAGGGTGTTCCGATATGGTGGGAGTCTGTGAGTGAAGT